TGCTTCAGAAGGTCAATGGTGGAGACAACCTTTCCATTTCATTCATCTATAATGACATGTTTAGGGCAAAGATTGCAATCAAAGCCAACCATGGTGATGATGCACGTAAATATGGGCCTTTTTGGAATGTGATAGACAGTCACTGGAATTTATTATTTCACCATCCACTTTATTTGGCTGCTTATTTCCTGAATCCATCCTATCGATACCGCCTGATTTTGTCCCGGTAGGAAATGATGCCTTCTTTGGAGTCCTTTTTAAGGTCACAAGTAATCTTGTTCTTTCTTTTGAACTATGTATACATCTTTGTAGCATCCAGATGTTGTACGTGGATTAAATGCATGCATTGTTAGGCTTGAAGCAGACAATACAAAGAGAATTTCTGCATCCATGCAGGTATTTAGCTGTTTATTCTTTGTTGAGTTATAGGGTCATTCTGGTAATTCCATTCTTCTAATCCATCTTTGTGTTTCCCTCCATGGGTGAATATTTGACAATGCATTGATGAATCGTGACAGATTTCTGACTTTGGTGCTGCCAAAGCTGATTTTGGAACTGACTTGGCCATTAGTACCAGGACAGAGCTTGATCCAGGTTATAGCATCAGAATGCTTGCTACACCTGTGTGAAAATGGCGCTCTCTTATGTTGATCCATATACACAAGCACACTTGTCAAAAACCTAAAAACAGTTGATAATTCACCATTTGATCAGTTACAAACTTTGCTGACCTATATGTTCTTTTTTTAGCTGCATGGTGGCAACAACATGGTATAAATTGCCTGGAGCTCCAATGGATAGCTGTGCGCATACTCAGTCAAACTTGCTCCTCTTTTGGTTGTGAACATAACTGGAGCATTTTCGATCAGATTTACAGCCAAAGGCACAATCATATTGCCCAAAAAAGGTTAAATGACATAATCTATGTTCACTACAACTTGCGGCTTAGGGAGCGCCAGATATGGAAAAGGTCCAGTGACTCGATTTCCCTTGATGGAGTACTGGAAGAAACTTTATTGTATGACTGGATAGTGGAGAGGGAGAAGCAAGCCGTACTGGAAGATGAGGTAACTATTTCTCGTGCTAAATTGGAATCAAATAGTTTTCTGTGCTTCATTTGGGAATCGAAATTAAATTGGAAGTCTGATAAAATGCAAATCTGAACTTGCAAGACATATTCGCGTGTAACATGTCAAACTTCTGATCTTTCATGACAGAGTGAGGCTTTTCGTATTCTAGTGTTGGAACTTATTACGTCTCCTGCACTTTTAACTCCTCTCTCATGAGTCTTCTGTAATTCACTTACGTTCTTTATGACCTATGAACTCATTCCTCTGTAGTCGGGGCATCAAGAGATTTGCTTAACAATATATTTTGCAGGAAATCCTGTATAGTGACATGGAGCATGTGGAGACGTATGAGAACGAATTGGATCACGATGATGGAAATGCTGCAGACTCCAGAAAGGGATCCTTGGAGATGGTAACAGTGGCCGATATAGTGGAACCTTTGGACGTGAATCCTGCTCATGCCTGTGGAGGCTGTGACGATGAGGGTGATACAAATTTCTTTGACGATGACCAAAGCGATTAAGTTACCTTGCCGGACTGGCTGTCGGATGTACTTGAACAATGGAATCAGTTGTATAGAGAGTTACAATAGATTGATTTTTGTAGTTCAATTCATGTAGTAGTATTCCTCCAGAATCCAATTTTACAAAAAGATTAATCTTATCTTGTTATTTTGGTTTGAGCCCGGGAATAAATAGTTTAACTTTTTCAGGATGACTGTAGTGTAGTAGGTGCCTTTTTTTTTTTTTGGCAGCTTGTGTCCTTTCCCGTGAAATGTTAGGTTGGATTGAGCCCTTCCTTCCATTCAAAGTAACGTACTTTTCATTTTCAGATATTTCAAAGTATTTATCTATTGAAAAAATTAAAATACTTTTAGTTTTTTTTTTCAATGTAGCATTTCTTTCTAATCATATATATATTATCATTCAAATTTAAAATTTGAATTTGTAGGTATAATTGAAAAAAAATACAAACATTACAATTTTTAAAAAGTTGAATTCCAAAACATGATTAAATAATTGGAATGGAGGGAGTAAAAAATTTGAAATCTACCAAAATCACTCTACTTGTTTGGATTATTTAAGAGGTATTTGGATTTATAATTTATCAATTGTTAAAATACATTTTAAAAGCTACAATGTGATCTATAAACTCAAATACCTCCCATCTAATCTAAACAATCTAACCATTAAAGAGATGTGAGAGAATATTAGATATCTCTCAAACAATCTAAACACAGTCTAAGGCTTTGTTTGGATTGCGTTTTCTAGGATTTTTTTAAAATATTACTGTAGCGATTTGATGTATGTGAGGAAAAAATTAATAGGGAACTATAATCACCAAAAACGACGCAATTTTCGGGCGGAAAATAGCTGTCCAAATCGGGCCTAAATTTTTCTCAAACATCTAACTCCAATCTACATTAACATTGCAAATGGCAAGCCTAAAAGATCAAACAAATTAAAGAAAGATCCTTTTTTTAAATAAAAAAAAAACTTTTTGTTTCCACCCCTTTAGCAAAAATTTATTGTCGATTAATTTCTACTTCTCATATATTACTTGAATTTTTTCATGGATGTTGAGTGCCTGTGATTAAAGGTAGTGAATAATGATGTTAGGAAAAGAATTTTACAAATTATTGCTCGATGATTTGCAGTATATCTCCACCTGATTGGGAAGATATATTAGTAAAAATGTGCATAGACCGTGGCATCGTTGTTTGATGAATCATTTGAGTTGATGTTTTTAGGATGGAACCATGGATGAACTAAAACACATGAGAAGATCTTTAGTGTTTGAAAACATTAAATGCATATTTTTCCTTCAAAAAATGACTAACACGAACGTTACTAGTTGCTGGGGAAGGCTTATGAATCTCTTCTTCTTATTTTTTTTCCCCCTGACATTCATTTTTAAATTATATCTTTTGGATTTGATTTTAATCTTTGGCTTTTTAATTTCTTTTCCATTCTTACTTTTATTCTTATGTTTGTTTGGATTGGCCTTTATTTCCCCATATATATTTACTTACATCATCATTACAATTTTCAATACACCTTTTTACCTTCTCAATTACCTTTTTTATCTCACATACATCACATCACAAAAAGTGCTACAGCCTGTTTTGCATTCTGCTTCTTGATGTAGGGTGTTAACTTGTGTGGACGTGTGACTAATTATCTTAAAGGGAGGATGATTTTTTTTTTTTTTTTTTTTTGTTTTTGTGAAGCATTCCCCCAACTTTATTATGTCTTTGAGGGGAATCAAATATACCATTTTAACTACTTGATGACAATGGAACCATTGTCGAATTTTTAATTGCCTTGTATTTTTGGCTAGGCTGCTGTATACTGGATTCTATTTAGTCTATGCGGGACAATATATGTATTGTGGGCTGTTATCCATTTGATTTGGATTTTAAGAGGTGGTAATTTGCTGTAATATTTGAGAGCAGTGGTGTTGAGAAAAAGTACCCGTGGCATCACACATTTGCTGGCTAGGAATTGACTATAATTATGTATCCTTGTGAACAAAAAGGCTGTTAAATCTTTGTACAGAAATTTGCATTGTGAACAAAAGACTGTTAAATCTTTGCAAAGCTATGGCTTCAGCCATTCAAAGATGGTTCTCCCATGCATTCTAACCAAAGGACCGTACTACAACAGATCTTTGTACAGAAATTTGCATTCTGTTTTTCTTTACTCCTTTGCGTATTTGCCTTTGGAATTTATTTCGAAGGGTTCATTGCATTGACCTCCCTTGAGGTTTAACACAACTACTAATCACTCCTTGAGGTTTCACCGAATAACAAAATGAACCTTCAAACTACTAAAACTGTAACAGACACCCCTTCTTGTTAGTTAACTAACGATTGACTATCAATCTTGATGATTTCAGCATAAAATAGACAATGAAAATCCTATAATACCCACTCTTAAAAGCCATTGTATCATCTTTTATTTTCTTTCTCTTTTTTTTCATTTCTTCTTCCTTGTACCTTTAGTCTTCTCCATCAACTTTGACCCGCAATGACCACGGCAAACTAAACTACGGGTAGCAGCAGCACCACCAAAATTGAGAAATTACACTAATAAAATCGCCTCCTTGAGTAGTACATGATTCTTGCCTCAAAATTGATCAAAAGTAATGGTAGAACAGCTATACAAAGTGAAAGCTATGGCTACTGCTCCGTTTCTTCTCACTCAAATAATAGGCATTTTGATGAAACTTATAACAAAAACTATCCTTAAAATGAGGAACATATAGATATGGCAGAAACTGAAACATTAGGGAATCAAATAACCATAGATAAAAAACCTCATATATCCCAATTTTTCAAACTAAAAAAAAAATGAACAAAGAGTAATCACATATAAGCTATCACAAAATGATTCAACCTAAGATCCAAGCTCCATGAATCCTAGAAATAAATTTCCATGCTTATCAAAAAATACTCCAATCTTATAACGGCATTCAAACAATGAAAAAAAAAAGATTCAAGATTGAAATGGTTGAGAAAAAAAGGAAAAGAGGCTAATGCTGGTGGGGTGGTGCACTAGTGGTAACGGTTAAAATATGTTGAGAGATTTTGATGATTTCTCATTTCTATTTTCTTCTATATTTGGTGGGTTTTGTTTATTTGTATCCTTGTTTTCCTTCGAATTATTTTCTTTTTTTTTTAATTTTAATTCCTTTTTGCATTTTCCTTTTCCATTTCAAATTTATTGAATTTGAAAAGGATAATTTTGTCATTTGGCAACCTCCAACGGTAGGATATTGACGTGGTTACCAATAAGGGAGGTAGATGTAATTTGATCAAACCTTGGAGACTGATTGGTAGTTTAATTAAACATCAGGGAGGTAAATGTAATTTACCCTATTTCAAATTGAGTGGGACACCGACTCAAAGCGGAAATTCCCTAATCTCCCCTTCGTTCCACCACTCCCTCCCCTCCCCTCTTCTCTCTCTCTCTTCTCCTTTCTCTGTTTTCTGGGTTTTCCTTTTTGGATCTGTGTATTGGAGAGAATGGCGGCAGCATCAGGAAACAAGAACAACGCACCAGCAGCAATTGGGCTAGCGTGGGAACCCAAGCTACCTTGGCTTCCAGTTCCAGATACAGCTTCAGCTTCTTCGTCCAGAAATCACCTCCGCCGCCGCCACCACCATTTGGGGCCGAAACTAGCACAAGCCCCTCCTCTTTTTCCTCCCAACAGGACGACCTCATAGATGGACTCTACCTTCCGCCTAACGACCCCAAAAAGCTCAATAAATTGATCAGGAAACAACTCCGACACACTGCTGGCAAGCATTGGTAACCCCCCCCCACCCCTCTTCTTTCTTTTCTTTTAACTCCTATATGACTAAATCCTATTAGTGGTACGTATTTATTTGTTTTGTGAATATCTCAATAGGATTTTACCCAGAGAAGCGTCGCATCCTATTATTATTATTATTATTCTTGTTGTTATGATTTTTGGTTTGCGGGACTGAGCTGGTGATTTTGATTCCTGAATTAGGTTTGACATGCCTGCTCCGACTCTCACTCCCGAGTTAAAGAAAGACCTCCACCTCTTGAAGGTAACCTTACTTGCTACTTTCACGCTTTGCGTCCTCTCCCTTCTCTCTAATTATCCTTCCTGCCCTTTTCTTTTACTCGTGAATTAGAAAGTTTTCTTTTTTCCCGCTCGCAAATGAGAAAGAAAGAGGAAAAGCAAGGCATCCCAATTCCCGCCCCATCTTCCAAGTTCCAACTCCAGCCATTTTCTCTCTATCTTCAGCGGCAGCTGCCAATTTTTGTTGCTTTCGCTACAAACTCGTATAACTACATCGTAGTAGTACCATTTTTCTTCTAGTTTGGACCCCCAAAAAAAAAAAAAGGAGAAAGTTCCTCCTTTGAGCTTCTGTAGGATGCCTGACCTGGAGGGAGATGTACATGTCTTTGCTTCAATCTTTTTTACATTGCATTAGTGCAAATGTCAACATCGACTAACATGAAAAGCTGTTCCCTCTTAGTTTTAGGTTCATAAAAAACTTTGGTCTCTTGACATCTTCTTCCAAGCTTCTTCTTCCTCTTCTCTTGCTTCTTCGCCCTTCATTTATCAACTTATTCTCTTTCCGCTTTTGCTCTTTCACAAATAAATGGCACAAAGCAGATTAAGACCCACACTTATGTTTCGTATTCCAAAGTGAGATCCCGTCTATCACGAAAGAACAGTCAAATCACAGAGCATCACTGGTGCATCTTGTTTTGTTATCTGGACATATGACGACATCTTTATTTTGACCTAATGCATTTGAAAACTGTCAGTTAATTCTCATATTGTTCCAAGTCGGTGTCTCTAAAGTCTCTTTCCTGTCATCTTCTTTGTCTGTTTCTGCTAATGGTTTTATTGTCTTTATTGACTCTGCAAACTGCTGCAGATGGATTTAATGTTATAGAGGAATGTTAAAATGCTTTCCCCCCACCCCGGGGCAGCGCACAGGGGCTGTAATTATATTGTAGTGCTTGTAGATGGATACTTGTTTGTGACTATCACAACTTGTTTGTGGTTTCAGTTAAGGAATGCTATGGATCCCAAGAGACACTACAAGAAGGGTGACTCGAGATCAAAAACTCTTCCCAAATACTTTCAGGCAAGTCTATAATGCATCGTTCATCATCTTCTTTTTTTTTTTTGGGGTTGTGGACAATCCACACCACATACCTTACTGCATATTTGCATGTACTGCCCAACTACCTTGTCATTGTTTTTTCATCTTGGATTACATTAAAAGGTGTATTATAGGATATTCTATCGACTATAGTGTGAATATGTGGTCTAATAGTATAGATGTCTGCACCTCCCGGACGCCCTATAATTATAATAGTACTTGTCAAGGAAAATCTGTAATTGAGCCTGTCTTATATTTGATCAGGTGGGGACTATAATAGAGTCTGCTTCAGAATTCTATACAGGTCGACTTACCAAGAAGGAGAGGAAGGCTACCCTTGCTGATGAGCTACTCTCTGATTCTAACCTTGCACTGTACAGGTAATGAAAGGAATCAACACTTGTTTATGCCATTACACATCATACTTCTTGTCTGGATTACTATTGTTGGCAAAAATGGTAAGCTAAATCTACACTGGTCACTGTCCTGGTGGACTGTTGCGTCTAACAAGTTATTCTTGGTTTCAAGGAACGCCGGTAGTGGTTTGTTTTGAATAATGAGAAACCAAGACTCTTATTAGTTATTTCATACATGCCATCGAAGTTCTGCCAGACTAGTTGCCATCCTCCTTTTCTTTTGGCCTTTTATGGCGATTTTCCTACTCTTTTTAACCTGACAACACTCTGCAGGAAGCGCAAGGTTCAAGAGATTGAAGAGCAAAACCGACCTGCTGGGGTTGACAAGTGGAAAATAAGAGGACGGAAGTCCATGAAGCGAGCTAAGCAAATGAGGCATTGACTGAGTTTTTATTCATCTAGAAATGAAGAACTATTCTGCTCGTCATTTGTGTGAAAAGGAAGAGAAACTCGCACGAAATTTTGATAGATCGTATTGCTATATCCCCTGTAAAATCTTCATTGATTTTGGCCGACTGATGAGATAAGAGGTGTCATATTTTCGTTTTGTTGTGCCAATCCAATGATGGGTTTCTTTCTGTGCTCAGATATTCTGTTGATTCATCATTATGTGCATATTAGTAGGAGGTGAGACTCAGGATAGAGTTGTTCATTGTTAATGAGTTGTTCATTGTTAAAAGAAAATCACGACCTCAAGGGATTAGGACAGAGGAGGCGCCATTCACTTGCCATACAAAGTTAATTATCGGAATGATCGTATCGTATTATCATACCATCTCAAAAGAATTAGTGTGAGGCATGGACATAGTCAACGAGCACCAAGACATGGAGTCTGGAGTGCCAAAACCTAGTTTATCAAAAGCGTGTGAAGTTCATAAATGATCAGTGTCGGAATTATATCTTCGTTCACCTAGAGATTGATCATATCTGATGGCAAGTACATCGGAATTATAATTAAAAACTGAAGTACATCTGACGGACATCATTATGTTCCCCGTGATGAAGCTATGCAGCTACATGGGAGATAAAAGTTTTAATCATAGTCCTAAACTCAAAGGCAGAGGCTCCTGCGAATCACCAAGCCGAGACAAGTGAAGGTAGGCATCCGTCCCTGTGATAGTAAAACACCAATATTCAGAACATCAGAGTTACATTTTAAACTTAAAAATAACATAAGATGACAATTTCCAGCAAAAAGAAGCACGAGATGCTGTATAAAATAAACACAAACTCTGTCATTCTTCAATCAACATCCTATTCCTTCTTAAACTTGTAAAGGACAGGAACTTTAAAAATAGTATCTTTTAGTGACTTGAGTGCATTCTGATGACGGGGGTGTTGGTCGGCTGATATCCACGCATTATCACCATCTTAACATCGTCTAATCAAACATTCTTTCATCATAACATCTTAAGCCATTACAGCGTAAATCTCAAAAGTTCTTAAGCAGAACTACAGGACTACCAGCAATCAGCAAATTTAAACTAGTTGGAAAGCCACCAGTTGCAAAAGAATTTAACAGTTACGCACCGTATCCCTCCATGGATATAATCTGTAAATCACCACCAAAATACCGAGCATACAAGCGGCTTATTGGAAGTCCATATCCATAACCAGCCATAGTTGTTGTATTGGCGATTCCCAGGTCCACCTGCTCATCAAGGGGATTCTTTGCAGTACTGTAGAGATATGTAAAAATTTTTGGAAGGCCACTTCTTGGAATTCCTCCGCCTTCATCAGAAACCTGTGTATCAAAAAAAATAGTCAATGATGGATGGAAATGGAAATATAAAGCAGCACTTTGAAATACAAAACAAGAAAAAAAAAATATGGAAAAGGACGTGCCTTAATGGTAACATCCTCTATTCCGTCAGCGACGATTATACGAATAGGGGGTGCAACCTTGTCGGAATTCATAAACTGCTCTTGAACAGCACGCAAAGAATTCTTAACCAACTCAAAAACCATAAGATGCAGATGTGTAGGTACGTAACTGTAGCCAAAGCAGAACGCATTAATCAAGAGTGTAAAACAAACAGGACCTCAAAGCATCGCATTTCCGACTTGTACTACATAATGCAGCATACTGCCATAATACAGACTTTTGAGAAAAAGGGAAGAAGATCATGAAAAGAGGAAAAAGGGATCCGGCAATCCAAGCAGCAAACTTGAAAGACATGATCAAGAGCTAATTAGTCAGCAAACAACTTACGGAAAGGTAAAATTAGGATCCCCATAAATATTAACATCTGGAGCACTGCCATACTCCGGAAACAAATGCAGCGGGCATCCTCACTGGCATGTCGAGCAACCTCCACAGGAGACATCTTTGTATGTATATATCCCACACAATCAGGAGGAGGATTGGGATCATGCAAAGCCACGTGCTGCCCTGAGTTGAAACATATTAGGACCAAAAAAAAAAATCAATTTCAGTATATGTGTAGTTAAAGATAGAAAAGAGAATGATCATAAAACGCTGCCAGAATTTGCCATGCAGCAGCCAAATGAGACAAAATAGGCATGTAAAAAGTAGGATGTGCGGCTAACCAATGAGCATGCGGATCCCAATTCTTGACATAAAAACGGTCCAGAAACTGGTGAATCTCATCCAGATCCTGATAGTCCACCTTGGGTTTTAGATCTTTCTTTAACTGCTGGACGCCCAAAGCCATCGTGGGAACAACATTGTTGTGCCTCACCTTAATCATCTTGATCATTTGAGTGAATTCAAGCTCATCGTTCTTGTCTTTTATCTCTGGAAAGGATCTAAGATCACGAAAAGAATCCAGATACCAATCTCGCACCTAAGGAGGGAAAACAATGATATTGTTAAAGGCGGGATGATTTTGGGGAAGATCCAGGTTTGGAACTTATGCTGACAAATGGAAATTGATCGCCAGCCTGATTATGCTTGCCAATTCAGAGCATGATGCCATGACAATGAATCTAGGGATGAGGCAACAATATCAGTTCAAAGGAATTGAGCTACATTCGAGGATTTACTTGCTAAGCAACATTAGCAGTAGTTCCTTGTTACTCTGGCATTAAATTCCTACAAAGAAGCGACATGCCCCAATAAGACAGAATTAACAGCACATTTCAAAATCTTTCCCTCAAGGTCTCAAGGAAACAAAAGTGGGGTGTGGTTGGTGTGCTCTGGTAGAAGATAACTATATCATTACTCTTCTATGACTAGTTATGAATTATTTATCGTTCCCACAATTTCTTGTAGAAACAACCAAGTGGAATGAAATTCCTCGCTCCTTGAAATGTCCAATCTTGAATACATGTTGTAGAAAAAAAAAGGGACCGCCCCACCCCGGGGGGTTTTTTTTTTGGGGGGGGGGGGGGGGAGGGGTTGGGGGTACGGAAAAGAGAAGATGCGGAAAAGAAAAGATGGGGAAAAGGGTACCTACTTTGAGAACGGCAGGTTTGGAGGATAAGCCATAGGGGAGGGACTGGAGCTCAAGAGCCCTTCTGGCAATCCTAATGGAGAGCTCGTTGTGGAGGAACTGAGCAGAAAGGAGGAGGTTGCGGGGGTGGGTCGGGAGCCGAATTCCATCATGTACCTGAGACTGACTCCGGTTTGCTTCATTCCACCATATCTATGAACTTCTTCAAGCACACCCTTAGACAGCGTCTCCTGAAGCTTTTTGGCAGCCATAATATGCCTCTGGGGTTCCCAGTATTTTCTCCAACCAACCCAAATAACAACTTTTTTTTTCTTCTTTTGGTCCTTTTTTCCTTGGGGGGGGGTTGGGATTTGTTTCCCCCAAGCTTCCCAACAAACAAATTGTGAAATGAAAGAAAGAAGAAAGAAAGAAGAGGCGGGGGGCCCCTAATTTGATCAAAGAATTGGGGAGGCAGAGAGAGGTAGACGTCGTCCTCCTCCTCCTCCTCCTACTCCTACTCCTAAGAAAGAACGAAGGAAGTTGGCAAAATTAAACATGCAGAGCCGGCTGAGTTTGAGAGGATTGAGAAGTAGGATAAATAAATAAATCAATAGCAGTAGCAGAAGGGAGGGGACGTACTTTTGTCTAGCGCTCACACGACTCACAAGTCACAAGACAAGGTGGTGCGGTGGTGGTGGTGGTGGTGGGTCATGGCTGATTGGTGAGAAGGAAAACGGAAACGGTGATGATGATGAGATTTGAGTTGAGGAATGAGGAAAAAACGAACCACACAACAAAAGCGACCAAACGAATGAATTCGGGACGGACGTCTCTGCTAAGTAGCTGTATTTTATTAGCAGTTATTTACGTATTACCCCTGAACCTCAGGTGCACTTGGATTTACGTACCCGTATTGTTTTGGATTCATTTGAGTTTTGATAGAAAATAGAGTGCACTGGTATCTCATTCTCATTGCTATTTTTTTTTTTTTTGGGAAGTATATCGTTTTCTATAAAACAAAAAATAGAAATATAGCAATTTAACGTATATGAAACGAAAAAATATTAATCAGTGAGAGAACTGGGATCCAAAAATATTCGAGATTTCATTCCCACTGCCAATTACCACCACTATCTCTCTGCTTCCTTGAAGAAGTCTGCATAATAATAATGGATTGGACAGATATAGGCACAAATCCTATATGACTGACTTGTTTTGCAATTTCAAAGAATGGGAGAGAAAAACCATCATATCATACCATCATGTTTAGATCAACAGTAGCAACCTTACAAAACAAACTCGACTACTTCCCTGGAGGGACAACAAATGTGCAGGTACATTATTTATTGTCCCTTTCCACCCTCACCCTCTTCCTGTTCCTGTTCCTGTTCCTGTTCCTCCAAAACTGTATGTGATTCCTGCTCAAAAAAGTAACTGAAAATCTTCAGCTAAATTAAAGAAAGAAAGAAAGATGAAGTGAAGGATCTACACAAAAAATTTGCCTGAACCAGTTGACAATAAAATGATAACGTAATTGTAAGCAAGCAAGCATGCAGAACAAAGAAACAGGAAAGAAAGAGAAGAAAAGTTCGGAGCTTTACTACTGGCTTTTCGCAGACAGATAAAGGGATTTGGCAGAGAAAGAGAGGCACCCTGTAATGTAATAGCAAATAATAATTAGTCTTTTTTTTAAAAAATATATATATATATATTTATACATATAATTAATTAATTAATACTAGAAGGAACTAAAATCAACTATCGGACCCTTGTCCGCCCCAGAACGCCCTCCGCCCTCTCTCTCTCTCTCTCTAGGCTGCATTGCAGAAGACCAGGCATTGGGCCATCCTTCCTTCCCTCCTTCTTCTTCTTCTCGCTGCTGTTGTTGGTTCTCCACGGCCCACGACGGCTACGGGGCTTTTGGCCGCATTTTGATTTCTCCTCCTCCTCCTGCTGCTGCTCTCTTTTCAGTGTCTTTTTGTTCCTTTTATCCTCTTTACCTTCTACTATTTCTGATTAGGGTTCTGTT